GAGGAGATGGTAAAGCCAAAGCCGTCCTTTCCTCGTAGAATGGTCACCTAAAAGACACACACAAACGCACGCATACAACACACTGCCACCTGCTGGAAAATATAAGACACTGCAGCTCCCCATCAGAAAAGCACCAATAAAATGAATTGCATATTCTGGTTTGTCAATGAAGGAATTCTACAGACAAATATTTTTACCATTTTTTAATGAGCCAGACATTGTAGATTCTACTGAACAACTGAATGTAATTTTTTTTTCCTTAGACAAATGTAAACAAAGTATAGATAAACAAAACATGGTGCAAAACAACTTAGGTTGGTATTTAATGAATGTTAAGCATGCTTGCTTTTTGAATGGACGTTTCATTTCAATTTAATCTCACAAACATCACATTGGGTAAACTCCGAGATGGGAGAGAGCAGGATTCAATTTCCTGTGTTTATTAAATAATAGCAAAAATAAAGGAAGCTAGAAAAACCAAGAACCAAATAACAAAAATAAGCTCAACTGACGTAACATCCATGAAAGGACAAACTCAACAGGAAACACAAGGACTGCATATACTATCAGGGTTAACAGCCAAACAAGACACAGGTGCAAACAATCAGGGGAAACAAAAGACAGGAACACAACTGAAAAGTCCACAACACAACACAAGAGCACAAAGATATTACATCAAGATGAACTCTCTCTTAATGCATTCACAAATATGCAAAAAAAAAGCTAGAGACTGTCCTGTCAAGTGGCGCTTTTCCACTGTGAGGTACAACTCTGCTCGGCTTGTTTTACTTTGGCTCGGCTTACTTTTCCTGTTTAGTACCTCTTTAGACAAATGTAAACAAAGTATAGATAAACAAAACATGGTGCAAAACAACTTAGGTTGGTATTTAATGAATGTTAAGCATGCTTGCTTTTTGAATGGACGTTTCATTTCAATTTAATCTCACAAACATCACATTGGGTAAACTCCGAGATGGGAGAGAGCAGGATTCAATTTCCTGTGTTTATTAAATAATAGCAAAAATAAAGGAAGCTAGAAAAAACAAGAACCAAAGAACAAAAATAAGCTCAACTGACGTAACATCCATGAAAGGACAAACTGAACAGGAAACACAAGGACTGCATATACTATCAGGGTTAACAGCCAAACAAGACACAGGTGCAAACAATCAGGGGAAACAAAAGACAGGAACACAACTGAAAAGTCCACAACACAACACAAGAGCACAAAGATATTACATCAAGATGAACTCTCTCTTAATGCATTCACAAATATGCAAAAAAAAAGCTAGAGACTGTCCTGTCAAGTGGCGCTTTTCCACTGTGAGGTACAACTCTGCTCGGCTTGTTTTACTTTGGCTCGGCTTACTTTTCCTGTTTAGTACCTCTTTAAATTGAATGGGATTATAGACTGATCATTATAGTTGCACCACCGCCTCGTCTACTGACCACGACACAGCCATTTATTTTTTCAAGTTACATGCGACGGTCGTTTAAAGCAAGTCATTTAAAAAAGTTGTGCAAACAAATGATTCTGTGGTGGCTGTTGCTGACTATTTAAATCTAGGGGGTTTGATGTCTTGTGTCACAAATCCAATGACGCTGGTAGTGACGATTCTCTCTGACCAATCAGTAATATGCAGTGTTTACTGCAGTCACGTTTTAATTTCGGTACAG